CGGGGGCGCCCCAGCTCCCCGCCGGGGGCCCCGCGCGGTTTTCTGCCCCGGCGAGTTGCCGGCCCCACTTCCCCGTCCCCTCGGAGACACTGGCGTTCTAGGGAGGGGTGGGGCTACCCCGCCACACCTATACATTAGGGATATTAAATATCGGTTAATTGAATAGTCGAGTAACCGCATGAATTCTTATCGGTTAATCGACTATTCTATAGTCCCCAGGGGCGGGGCCGGCAGCAGCGTGGGGTGCCAGGTGGGAACTAGTCTTCAAGGAAAGCCAGTTTTAAAACCAGCTCCTTCTGCGGACCAGCTGCTTGTCGCCCTGTGCTGCTGCCTCTGATAAAGAGGCAGCAGTGTGGGATGACAGCAGCCTCTGCCTGCCGGGGGGCAGTCTAAGCTCCCAGACCTGGCACAAACTGGAACTGAGCCAGGCTGCCTGCCTCCCTGGCTCCTAATACACTTTAAATGCAGAGCCACAGCAAGGGTAGGTCCCAAACATGGAATGAGCCATAACTGAGCCAGGCTGCTGGCCACCTGCTAAAAATTTACTAGTGAGAGGGAGGAAATGCATGTAGTCTATAGCATCAATCTATAAACTTTTTCATATTGGTTAATTGACTGCACTATTACATCCCTACTATAGCTCTGGGCTACTCAACACATGGCCCGCGGGCCGCATGCGGCCCATGGCCCATTTGTTTGCAGCCTGCAGTGAGGTTTGGGTTTATGCAAGGCTCAACACGCGGCCCACAGGTGGGAGCCAGAACAAAAAAGTAGTTAATATAATGGTCTTCTGTTGATATGCGTTTGAGCAGATAAATTCCTGAAATGTCATTGCTCATTAAAAGTGCTGTCATATGGGTGGAAATCAGGTGAATACTGCATTTTATTAATATCAGCAGCACTGACTTAAATGGGGCCTGCGTGTTCTGAAGTCTTGCCTTAATCTTGTACTCATACCTGTCATTGTGAAAAAAGCTATTTGCATGTATTTGCATAAATATTTGCATGTATATGCAACCACACTTAAGTTGCAGCCCTCGGCATGTGCTGTGAGTATTATTGTGGCCCCCAGGGCTTTCAAAGTTGAATAGCTCTGCTATATATTATTGTCAGATTATTAGGGTAGGGGAGCTGTGGCACTGGTGGCAGAAGACTGAGGAAACTGATTTTAGTGTGACATGTTTTTATCTTTGGATTATGGGCAGAAAGCAGAGAAAGGGTGTGTCCTGCTTACAGGATTTTTACACACTCATCACTGGCTTGTCTCTGGGGTAAAGTCATTCTCTGGCACAGGCCTGAGGGAGAGGCCCTCTGTAGCATCTGCAGCCTTGACATGGCTTGACTCAAGAACCAAAATCATCACCAAGTTATTTTAGAGTGGCATCACCTTCAAAACACAGGAATGCGCCTCTATGACAGGTCTGACTGAATTTCATCCGCCCACCCCAAACCAGCTAAGCCTACCCCCTTCACTCTAGCCTATGCATCCCCAAGATCTCTACCACAGCCCTTTTCAACCCATTCCAGAGCTTCTGAATCAAATGCTGCTTGCTCCTGCAGGCTAGCCCTCCTCCTCATACCAGTGCTAGAAGCCTCCAGATCCACTGCCAAACCTACCTCATTGAGCCCACTGTCTTCACCCTCTGGTGCTGTAAGCCATCTCCAGGGAAAGGGAGAGCTACACTCCTCATACATCAGTCTCTCCTCAGTGAACTAGGCAGGGGACTGCCCAGCAGGGCCTATAACTACCGCCTCCTTAGGCTGGCAGTGGATTTGGTAGCCCTGTCCCCATAGAGAGCATTGAGGCTCTGGTGTCACAACTGTGCCTACAAAAAAAAACCCAACCTGTTTCTGAGAACAAATAGGGTTTGTGGTTATAAAAACATAGGTATGTCAAGTGCACCTGCAAAAAGAAAAATACCTGTGTGGGTGCAAACACCTTTGCAGGTGGCAAAAATGTGCATGTGATGAGACAAAATGCAGGACAATGTAGCACTTTAAAGACTAACAAGATGGTTTATTAGATGATGAGCTTTCGTGGGCCAGACCCACTTCCTCAGATCAAACCAGATCAAATCAGATCATGTGATGAGAGCAACTCTGGGGAAAAAAACCTCTGTGGGTGCAAGTGGCAAACGTGACTACTGTAACTTCAAAGACAGGCTTTTGTGGGTCATGTCCATAGCTAATAATCTGTCAGCCACAGTACTCAACCTGTGGGGACAACTGACTAACAATCAATTAATGAAATAACTAAGTATTACACAGATGCACAACATAGACCTTTCAATGTCGTGACAATGGGGCAAAAAGATCCAAACACCAGAACAAGCCAAATTATAACTGAAAAGAGCAAGGACAGGCACTGCGGATGCTTCTTATGCTACTGCATTAAACCACTTTGCCACAAGTAGTCGTGGCCGAGTGGTTAAGGCGATGGACTAGAAATCCATTGGGGTCTCCCCGCGCAGGTTCGAATCCTGCCGACTACGGAGCTCGGACGTAACTTTTGGTGGGGAGGCCAGTCCCAGGC